TACGGATATTTTCCTCATTTGTATGTGCACTTTCAATCGTTGATAATTGCATGAATGGGTGCATTATATATGAAAAGTAATTAAAAACCGAATTAAATCTGGTATTGGTGATAAAAAATAATAAGAGAATATTAACAATATTTACATTTGTTGTATTAAAATACTAGATTTTTATGTTTATATAACCTATAGTAACATGACCTACAAAGATTAACTTAGTGTTTCGTTACAGGTTTTATCTTTCACTAATAAACATATATATATATTTATAACGATAACATCTAAATTAAAAAAATGGTGTGTGTAAAAACTGTAGAAAAAACTTATTTTTCAATAAAATAAGAAGAAAATAATAGAGTGCACGAAATATGTTTACCAAGATTTCTATTCAGTTATATTTTTGATTTACTTCATTGTATATTTATTAGTAAGTCAAAAATATAATTGTATTTCAGTAATTTTACAGTCTTTTCTACGAGTAAATTTTTATATGTTATAACTACGCGTGTAGTAAGAAGATAATGACACTCGATATAAGAGGAACTATTAAATATAATACAAAAATTAACACGAAAATTAGTTATAAAATTTAATAGAGTTAAAAGATATATAATAGCTTAACAAAACAGAGAGAAATATTTATAAAAACAAATAAACAATTAAGTGAAATGCTGTATATGTAATGAAATCTCTCAAGTTAGATAAAAATATCAAAAATAAAAAGAAACTAGAAACAATTTAATCTGTTTTTCTGTTCTTTATACATTTATAAAACCTTCTACCGATATGCTTAAAAAATTTTAACTTTAGCTATCGAAGACACTGCGAATAATTTAAATACATTTAATCCTGATTTCACCCACTATTACATGCTAAATGCCCGTATTACATGCCTGTGACCATCTAGACTGTCCATCAACAGATGATAGACGATTAAATATTATTTTATTTAGCAAAATTGTTCAAGCAAAATATGAAGAATACTGATGATTTTCAATTTTTGTATAGATAATATTGACAGCTGATTTAAAAACACATATTAAAACAAATTAATATTTATCGAGATTTAAACTTAATGTCTCTGTATTTGATAGCTTTGTATGAGTCCACCTCTCCTGCTGATGTAATTAATGAATGATAAAATTTAAGGTGTCAGCAATATTATCAAAAATTATATCAGCAGACATAAATAAATATATGTTCCTTTATTCATTTCTTTTATTTTGTTCCTTAATAATATATTATCAAAGACGTAGTGTATATTTACATATATAAAAATTAACATCGTGATACTATTTTGAGATTTTGTGGTAATATTTNGCGCTTCCACAGCTTCCGTGGACAGCATGCCACTGGTGCAGAGTATTATATAAATTACCAAACTACGTAGAACCATATTGACAAATATAAAAACAATAAAAAATTATACTTCAGAAGTTAATTTAGTATAAAAACGTAAAATATTTGAGTAGCCCAAGACATAGCTAAAGATTGCAGCGCCACAACACTGGCGAAAATTTAAATTTGCCGACTGGAATTCTTTCGGATAATTGACGTTTCGGATGATTGATTTTCGGATAATCGACGCTTTACTGTATAATGATTTGATATTTTGTAACTAATATTAAGTAGATAACTTTTGAAATTAGCTCTTCAGAAAAAGTCTCCAACACCAGACACGAATTCAGACAGCGCTCCTTGTAATAAATTTATACGAAAGTTTTCATTCTGAAAAAATTTATAATGTATCAAACTTGTATCGATATGCCAACAGAAATTTAGCAATACACAGACATCATGGTGTCATTGTTTTTAATTTGACATCTTTAAAAGATTTTTACTGTATTTTAATTAATAAAAGTTGTGGCATTGTAAGTTAATTTTATGTCTAAGTATATATTTCTCGTATTACTGCCGTACATACATCATTTATACAAATGTTCTTGTAAAAATCCTAAACGACATAATAAAATCATATTTCTAGTTTTCATTTTTATTTTCCTATCTGTTTGTAAATAATACGGCAATGTATTGTTCTCGTGTCAAATTTAAGTATCTAGCATCGATATCTTCACGTTTTGACATTCTTCAATCCAAATAAATCCACAAGAAGTTCTTGTGAATATGTATGTGAATGTGTTGGTATGTATTTCATTTTACCTCAGAATGGGGAAATAATTAAGAAACGAAATTTGTCATGGTAGCGTATATAAGGACGTTATTGATATTAAATTTTTGGTACTCAAGAAATAAATAGATAGAAGCGGACATGTGTTATACATTGAGTTGGAGCAGAAGTTAATAACAATTTTCTTTTCAAATTTTCGTTTTTTACCACTAAAGTATCGTTGACATGCTTGTAAATGCTTTTCTTAAATACTGAGATAAAATAAGTTATGAATAACGAATAACACTCAATCTACATACATAATACTTTATATAACACTATCAAATTTTTTCTTGTTCTTATCTTACTTTTTTTTCACTTATTAGCAAAAGAAATGCTATTAGGTTTCAAATACCCTCCTAGGTTTCAAATATCCAAAAATATGTATAATATTAATATCTAGGCCTACCTGCATTCATAATGTTTATTCTTAAAGAAGATAATTCATTATAGAATTATAAATATGTAGTTTTAAATTCGGTTCCATGATGTAATTAGTAAGCTCGACACGAGTATTGATTGTAGGTTAATGACACCAGGTTAGTAAGTAACATTACTTCAACAATCGTTAAATACGTTGTAAAACATTCCCCAGTTTTACTTACCTAAAAAATAATAACTTTTAATTAATAATTAAAAACAATGACTAGCAAATTTGTGTTGTCTCAGAACAAGGGGGGTATGACTCATTACTATTATCTGTCTGATATTCAGTTTAAGTTTTATATGATATATAATAATTCTTTGCAAAAATAACAATTTTTGTAGATAGAATTTATGATCAATTAAACATTAATTAAAATAATTAGGCTAATTTCCGTGTAACCTTTGAGTGACTTGAAATGTAAGATACTGTACAACTTACATCAAATTACATCAAAGCATATATATGATGTCCATTTTGTAAAATATTAGTTTTAAAAAGTCTAATTTCGACACGATTATCGTAAAAATTGCTTTTAAAAAGTATTTTCTTTATATCGAAATCAATGAATCAATTTTTATTAAAGTCACCTATTATCTCACACTTACTCGATTAGGTGACATAAAAATTCCAGATTTGTCTGTATAAATGCTAACGATTAGGTAAAATACCCTTAAAATTTACTTGGAAAATGAGAGTGAATGAATTAGTGAATGTGATAAACAAATGAGAATTAAACCCCTTTACAAGTTAAAAAATTCTGTTGACCCCCCAGGGGCCATATTAAAACTATATCAGTGATTTTAAAAACTATGTATTTAATTTTCTTTCTGTTGAGACAAATTATTGTTAGTTAAAATGAAAATTTCATAAGAATCGACAAGAACTTAACACAGTAAAAGTATGAAGCTTCCTTTAACTATAACATTGGGCACAGGGAGCCGTTGACCTTTTCATTTTTTTTCGGATCAGGATTTTCAGGGGTGAGATCTGAATATCGATCAAAACACCTATTTACTGTAAAATAAACAGGTACAGCCTTCTCGCTGAAATTGTAGTTTTTTTTTTTTTAATTGTAGTGTAGGACCTATAAACACTTGTCTTTTTCTTTTACCCGCGACCCCCTTGGAGGTCGCACCCACAGGTTGAAAAATACTGCTTTAGATGAAACATGATGTAGCATTTTAAATATATATAAAAATATTTCTGTGCCGATTATTACATTTGTTAAACTTTTTTTCTTACTCGCGCAAGATAACCTATTTTTGAAAAGTATGTTAAATTTAATAACATTATAAATCATTTTTCTTCGTAACAATAAAAATTATTGAGATATAAGATATAATACACTGTAAATTTACAAAAATGAGGAATATTGCGAAAATATTTTGAAATCTTCCATGTATCTCAGCACGAAATTATCATTAACGGATCTTTTTCGCTTACGCCTGCAAACTAAGTGTTTTAACTTGTAAAAGACACCAACATATTTTTATGTTAGTCTTCACATTTGTGTTTAATACCACAGACATTCACATAAAAATAATGGCCGTTTTTTCCGAATTGCTCGTGTTTGAAAATTATATTATATTAATTTTTGTTATATATAACATTCCTGAATAAATGGCCGCTGTTTACTGGTGGCCAGTATTAGGATGTTCGCTATTCAATAGTATAAATTATAAGATAACATTATATTACTGTTATTTTTCCAGCTTTTTTCTTTTAAAAAAATGTCTTTTCGTTACTGAATGAACGAAAAAGGTGATACCAGTCCCGAAAACGGGGACATAATGGGTGTGTTTCAGGTAAAAGTAATAGTTTAATAAATTAATTTTTTTAGAAAAAACTAATTATCGAAGTTTTGGGAAATTACTTTGACAATAATGGTTCTACTTGCTTTAATTAAAACTCGAGTTTATGTTTATATTTTTTTCACCTGTAAAAAGAACATAAATTTATTTTAGATATAATGTAAGTCTAGTCGCTTGCGATAAGATTAATAAATAATTTTGTCATATAACAAAGAATGGATGCAGATATAAGTACTTTAAATAAATATTTAATGAATTATAATGTCCTACTTACTAATCCAAAAATCCATCCGTTCGATAAGTTTCAGGTAAAAACAAACAAAACTTCAAAAATAGTCAATAAAATCTCTTATTAAGTCAAAAATATAAGGTAAAATTTCCTCTAGTTAAAGTAAACATCATGTGTTTACTCACTATATCTTGATAAAATCTAAACACGTCATTGGATAATATTAAATAAAACGTTTACAGTTTAAAACTACAAAAGTAGCACAACAATTACAGCACATCAATTAGGCATTTCCTAACGTTCATTTTACAACATAATATTATTTATAGTTTATATGGCATACAGACACAAGTATTAACATACAATGGATCGTGGGCAGACTAGACATCCATACGATTCTGCCAGTGTCTTTTCTCGATTTTCGTTCAAGTAAGTAAGATTTAACATTACTGATTTTGTATATAATTGACTCTTTACGCTTTGAAAGGAAAAAATGGTTTTTTTGTTCTGCAATATAAAAGTTCTCTTATGTTCGACTTTGATGGAGGAAATCTGAAAATAAACATATTTTGTTTTGGAATGAGTACTTTTTCTATTTAATTTCAGTGTTCACTTATATTCCGAAGCGGGTTTTAACATAGTTTATTATATAGTACATAAACAATTTGCACTTAGAATTAGACAGAACAATATTATGAAACTTCTTATATTGTTCAATAGTGTATACTTAAAATAAATAGGCGAAGTTAGTGAATCTCCTTAGTAAATTATAATTTTAAATATATTAAACGGCATAAAACATGATGTCGCTCTTTTCATAACGTTTATATAGAAAAACTATGATACATGTTCTAAACAAGGAAATATATGTATATTATTCTATGTTAATAATTATTTTTGCAGCTATGGTCATTTTCCTCATCTTGTGATCCTTCAATTCAAATAGACTCGGATTTGAACTTATCATCAGTGAAACTGGGCCAACAATGCTTGAATATATAACGTCACTGAACACTGTTTGTTAATCTCGGGCTTGCAGCGTGAAGATTAACGGGTTTTCTCCACATACATAGCACCAAAATAGAGGCCAAAACCCTTTTTTATCTTGGCAGAGCACCGTGTGTTACTCCGCTTCAGCCCATCTATTTGAACTATATCTGATGCCTCTCCATTACTTCTTTATGAAAATAAAACTTTCGTAAGCGATCACCACACTTTTTATTAAATTTGATAAATACATACGTTCTTAAGGGTAATAGAATTCAGCTTTTAATTACGTCTTTCAGAAGTTCATATCTTTTCACTCCACTCTTCTTGGGTTACAATACTTTTTGGTCTTTTTTTAAATTTCTCAGTCTCAATCTCATTTTTAGCACTCAGAATATACCGTATGTATTTAAGAGACACAACAGTAAGCCACAAGTCTAATTAATTGACAAAATGCTTATCAATTAGATGAAATAAACACAATTATTTAAAATATGGCCACACGTGCTTCAATGATAAAATTGTAAGCATAATCAATGACTATTCGTTTGTACATTTATCAGTTAGAAACATGTTTCAGGACCTCTATGAACAATTGGGCTTCTGGAGCGTTCAATTTCTTTTTGTGTGAAACTGCACACAGCTCTGTTTAGTTTCTTTTACTGACACATTGTGATTTTCGATAATTTGGCTTTAGTGTGAGTTATTGATGTTAAACAAACGTGTAAAAATAATTCAAATTATGAATAGTTTGTCTTATTTTAAATCTAAAATGATAGCAGCAAAATTCCAATTTCTAATTAACAAAATAAATGGTTCAATTAATTAAACATTCGGATAATCTATTATTGAAAACATCTGTATATTTTAAAATTTTTCATAATTTGCAATTTAATAGTTTATTATTAAAACACTAGCTAATCTAGGGTCGTATAGTGAACCCGCTGTAACCAGAGGACGAAGTTTATTCAATATAATATATCAGTTGATGTTTTCCTTGTTGATAGGATTGTCTTTTATAATATACTGTATTTGTATTTTGTATTAGTAAACATGCATTATTTTTTACAATTTTACTTTATTGTAAAAAACATGCAGAATAAAATAGCATTAACGAAACTATATTCTTTACATCAGGTATTGGCAACCTATGGCACGAGTGCCAAACGTGGCATTCAGAACGATTTTCAGTATCACTCGGATTGAATAGAAATGCAGTAAAAATTATATTTTAATTATTAATTACACGTTTCTTTCATGTACTGTACCACGGCTTTCGCTGAGCTATCAAGTCCATTTAGGACTTCATAGCTCAGCGAAAGCCGTGGTACAGTACATGATAGACACGTAGACGCTCCGTGTCGCATCTACGTGTTATGCAAGCGCTTTACATGCAAGAACATAATTCAGTTAACAAATTAATTTCAAAATTATACATTTTTCAAGTCCGTTATAACAGAATTAATTTTGATGACATATATAATAATCTTAGTAGAATCATAACACGAAATAACACTATAACTTATTTTCGGACACACACCGCTGAAAGGTTTCTGACCCCTACTTTACATTATTGTAAACAATGTATATACAACTTGACAAAATTCGTAACAAAAGATTGTATATTAACTGATAATGAAAAATATCATACAATTATCTTGGCATTTAAACACAATTGAAAAAGAAAAAAATTATCACATTAATAGAGAGATAAAATGTAAAAGAAGTAGATTAGAATATATAATTTCAGATTATGATAAGGGTAATATTTTATACATTATCTACAGACTGTTTATAAGAACTGATTCATATAAACACGCAATGTTTACATATTTGTGAATTATATCTTTCATGTCTGCTTTTTAATTTATAAATATGGCTCTTCGGTTTATTGACCCAGATCATCGCCTCAATAGGTCATTCTCTTCATACTGTTTTCGTTACACTTTGTATTCACAAATTTGAATTATATCTATTTTTGCAAAACTATCTCTTCAACTCTTCATCCCACCAGTGGCCGAGTTAATAAAGCAACTCAAATTTGAGAATTTTTTATTACTTATTTTGTGTTGTGTACAATTTCTATTAAGCAGGTGGTGAGTTTGTTCAGAACAACGATGGGGTGACCAGACAGAAAAGATACAGACTAAATACTGTGTAGGAAAACTACATATGGAAAATTTCAGGCATTTTGAAGCACACATATTCGAACCCGAATCTTCCAGAGTGATTGGTTGACACATTTACTAAGACTTTCATAAGACAATTAATAAACCTTCAGAAATTTTTATAGGCAATCTGTATCCCCAGTCAACATCATCTCCTCTCTGTAAAAAACGAAATTGGGATAGAAAGAAAACTGTGTTACTTCGAGCAAGGATAAAAGACCAAAAAAACAAGAGAGATTGTATCATTCAATGAATGAAAGATAAACATTTGGGTCAATATCAGGAAGGTTAAGATAGAAAAAAATGTACTATATCAGCGATATTATCAAAAATTATATTAGTAGATATAAACAAATTCGTGTTTATCTATTTTTTTCCTCACTATTTTTTCCTTGCTTTATTATGTATAATTAAGAATGCAGTACACAATTATATATATACTAGCAAGTGGGCCCGGCATTGCTCGGCAAAAGTAACGATAACTAAGATAAAGATTATTACGTTAGAGTAAACCTTACCCGTTTTCACAGAATGCAAGAATTGGGTTCCCTTGTTTCCAGACTTATTAGAGAATTTTTAGATGGGTCTAAAAATATGTTCGATTTCCCGCAAAAACGAAAAAAACTGCATCTGCGTATTGCACGTCGCCTTCTCTTAACAATTCCATTGTTACGTAGCATTTCCATTGTTGATACTTCCATTGTTACTTAACACTTCCATTGTTACTTAGCACTTCCATTGTTACTTAAGATTTCCATTGTTGATGGAAGTGTTAAGCCTTAATCTTGTCCCTCTCCCCCGTGGGGAAAAATTTCGAAAAATCCCTTCTTATTGTGCGTTCTCCTAATGTACCCTAACTGTGTAAAAAATTCCAACTTTTAACTCCTAACCGTTTGGGCTCGTATCCATAATGTATATAGAAGTTTTAATCCTGTCTCTCTCCCCCCGGGGGGAATTTCGAAAAATCCCTTCTTAGTGTACGTTTTCATGACGTACCCTATCTGTGTACCAAATTTCAACTTTCAACTCCTAACCGTTTGGGCTCTGCGCTTATTATTATTATCATCAAGCCGTCTCGATTATATATTAGATACAATAATTACAAATGTGTTATTCTAGTTTGAAAGTTCTTGATAAAATTATACATTTATATAACTAAAATATATTATTAAAAAATAGATACTTTTATGCAAATAATATTCTGTTGTTTTGTGTGATTTACGTCGCTATTTAATACGGATATTTTCCTCATTTGTATGTGCACTTTAAATCTTTGATAATTGCAGGAATGGGTGTATTATATATGAAAAATAATTAAAAACCGAATTAAATCTAGTATTGGTGATAAAAAATAATAAGAGAATATTAACAATATTTACATTTGTTGTATTAAAATACTAGATTTTTATGTTTATATAACCTATAGTAACATGACCTACAAAGATTAACTTAGTGTTTCGTTACAGGTTTTATCTTTCACTAATAAACATATATATATATTTATAACGATAACATCTAAATTAAAAAAATGGTGTGTGTAAAAACTGTAGAAAAAACTTATTTTTCAATAAAATAAGAAGAAAATAATAGAGTGCACGAAATATGTTTACCAAGATTTCTATTCAGTTATATTTTTGATTTACTTCATTGTATATTTATTAGTAAGTCAAAAATATAATTGTATTTCAGTAATTTTACAGTCTTTTCTACGAGTAAATTTTTATATGTTATAACTACGCGTGTAGTAAGAAGATAATGACACTCGATATAAGAGGAACTATTAAATATAATACAAAAATTAACACGAAAATTAGTTATAAAATTTAATAGAGTTAAAAGATATATAATAGCTTAACAAAACAGAAAGAAATATTTATAAAAACAAATAAACAATTAAGTGAAATGCTGTATATGTAATGAAATCTCTCAAGTTAGATAAAAATATCAAAAATAAAAAGAAACTAGAAACAATTTAATCTGTTTTTCTGTTCTTTATACATTTATAAAACCTTCTACCGATATGCTTAAAAAATTTTAACTTTAGCTATCGAAGACACTGCGAATAATTTAAATACATTTAATCCTGATTTCACCCACTATTACATGCTAAATGCCCGTATTACATGCCTGTGACCATCTAGACTGTCCATCAACAGATGATAGAGGATTAAATATTATTTTATTTAGCAAAATTGTTCAAGCAAAATATGAAGAATACTGATGATTTTCAATTTTTGTATAGATAATATTGACAGCTGATTTAAAAACATATATTAAAACAAATTAATATTTATCGAGATTTAAACTTAATGTCTCTGTATTTGATAGCTTTGTATGAGTCCACCTCTCCTGCTGATGTAATTAATGAATGATAAAATTTAAGGTGTCAGCAATATTATCAAAAATTATATCAGCAGACATAAATAAATATATGTTCCTTTATTCATTTCTTTTATCTTGTTCCTTAATAATATATTATCAAAGACGTAGTGTATATTTACATATATAAAAATTAACATCGTGATACTATTTTGAGATTTTGTGGTAATATTTTACATTTATATAATTAAAATATATTATTTAAAAAAATAGATACTTTCGTCTACATAACTTTTAGCTCGTATGATTATAATTTGTATATAATTTGTAGCTGTATCACTTGCCACGATAAAAGCATTGCTTGGTTATAGGTTTTATAATGTATTAATAAACAGGTTTATAAAAAGTATAATATTTATTATAGCTGTAGATAGAAACAAGATGGCATATTTTAATTAAATATAAATATCTTTTTTATTTTTTATTAATAAACTAATGATGACAAATTGCAGTATTTTCGACACTAAAAGTAATGACTTTTGTATTGGATACATTATTGGTAGTCACATACACTCACTTTTTATTTACTTTATTATATAGGTATATAATTATTATAATAATATACTTGTTTATGTATTTTGTAGATGGCTGTTCCCATTATTGATCAAAGGAAGAAAGGAATTTTTAAAAGATGATGATTTATATGAAACTTCCCAGTATCATTCCTCAGAATATCTTGGGAATTTACTTCAAAAGTAAGTATATTATAAGGTTTGATTTAAAGGATTAATTAATCCTCACCTCTACCCTGCGGGGTGGAATTTCGAAATTTTCCTTCTTAGTGTAGGTTCTGATGACGTACCCTGTGTACCAAATTTCAACTTTAAACTCCTAACCGTTTGGGCTCTGCGCTTATTATTATCATTATTAACTCCTAACCGTTTGGGCTCTGCGCTTATTATTATCATTATCAACTCCTAACCGTTTGGGCTTTGCGGTTATTATTATCATTATCAACCCATCTCGATTATATTATAAGATTCTGAAAAATTTATTAAAAATTTTATTTCAGAGAGTGGAATAAGGAAGTAAAAAAGAATAACCCAAGCATTGTTAAAGCATTGTTACGATTTATAGGATGGAAGTATTTAATAGTTGTATTCCTTGCTCTGATTCAGGTACTATCACGTTTGATTTTAAACATAAAACATTATTAAAAGTGATTGAAATAACTGAAATATATATTTATAGGAAACTGTAGTATTTACAAGTCAAGCATACATTTTGGGTATTATAATAAATTATTATGACAATAGATCAGAATGGAATGAACTAAATGTATATTTATCGTGTGCTGTATTCTTTGGCCTAATTATAATCTATATGGTAACATATAATATCGATTATTTTATAATGGAATTATTAGGCATGAAGTTAAAGATATCTTTATGCACTCTTATATACAGAAAGGTGAGTTTCAAATAATTTTAAAAGTAGAATTGAATTAACGTTTTTTATTTATTGTATAATAAATATTAATGTATTTATTTTCCATTTTTCTCTTCATCTGTTGTGTAATTAATTTAAAGTATAGAACTTAGTGCAAACAGGTAAGAAAAATGATGAAAAAAGTGCTATAAAATTTTGTAGACGTGTTTATTTCGAAACTGAAAATCTATGAACATAATTTCAAAAATAGTTACAATTATAGACCCTAGGGTAAGTAAAGGCGCTGCTGTCACTTTGGAATGACAACAGCATCGTTTCTGTGTAGTTTACAAATTACAAATCCAAACATTCGCAATTTGTGAACTACAGAGGAAAGATATTTGAGTAATATCAAGTTTAGGCAAATACATTACAAGGCCCCACACGACACTCATCATTTGTTCAACGCAATGGGCTGGTGGTATATCTTTTCTCACATCTTGTAACTCTAGTATTAGAGTTATTTGCAAATCAAGATTTTGTTGTGGATTTATGAGAACTAAAACAGACGTATTCAGTCTTGGCGTGTTGCATCTGTCTGTTTGTAATGGGATAACTCAATTGCAACGTTTGATTGAGAGTTGCAGTGTGCACGTTTAAAAGTTTGCTTTGAAGCTGCTGTGACAGTAAAGCTATTTATTCTAATTATTATATTTTACATGCAGGCAATTAATTTAAGTTCTTCATCTCTGGCAAAGTCCAATGTAGGACAAATGGTGAATCTCCTTGCAAATGATGTCAGCAAGTTTAACAATGTAAGTTAAAGACGATTTTTTCAATAAAGATTATTTTTAATATAGTAATAAGGACGTATGTTGCAAAAAGGATTTTACCTTCATTAAATTTAACTCTTTTTAAATCTTCAACAACTCGATCTTTGACAATAAGTAATTATTGGTTATGGGTTTATTGTGAAATATAATTACTTAATTTGGTATGATGCATTTATTTTTCAGAAATATGTCAACTTTATACGATTAATTAACTAGAATGAGTATTTATTTTTGATAATATATAACATCTGTATTTATGGAACTTTTCAATAAAATTTATAGTTTCACATTACAGTAATGTACTGTACTTCCGAAAAAAATTATAATAAACTACAGGTCTTATTCTACTGTAAATCACACAGTGCCTTTTTTAAAAAAATACTCTACATATTGATTCAACATAGCAATTGACTTTCTGGAATACACAGTATGGTTTTAGTACAGGTTGAAAAAGAAAGTCACTTAATCTCCTGATACAGGATATATCAGGAAAATTAAGTGACTTTCTTTTCCTGATACAGAATTGTCTTGGTATTGGAATTAAGTGACATCTTTTCTTGGTACAGAATTGTTTGGCCTCATCAGTGGACACACTGATGTGGATACACTGAAAGGTAAAGTCTTCACACCTTTGATGTATGAAAAGTTTCACCTCTTTCCTGAACTGAAAACGTGGCTAGGTGGGCAGAGGTCGAGACTAATGACGATCTTCAAAATAACTTTAAGGTCATCTCAAGTCACTGGCGGCAACATTCTATGAAGAGTGAAATGCAAAGCTCGTTCACAGATATGATAACTACCTCAATCTTTACGGTGATTATGTCGAAAAGTAACTATGTTTGTGCCTAACTTCTGGTAATAAATTCATTTTCTTATTTACACTTGACTTTGTTTCATGGACCATCGAAGATTAAAGAAAACACCTACGTATATTATGAAGCAGAAGTGTTAAGAGACTTTCTGTTACACCCTGTATAATGAATATAATTGAACTATGGAAATTTTCTAGTGCGACTAAATTGAAATAATTGATAACTTATAATTTTCAGTCTTATGATTAGTTCTCGGCGGCTATTTAATGACAAACCCAAGACATCCAGGAAATTACTTTGAAAAAAAATAAACGCCTGTTCGTCCGAATTAGAACATAGCTCCCCAGAGTGTGGGCATAGGCCTTAGCAGGCACTTCATCATGTTTCTTATCTTCATCATGTTTCTTATATATCAGGTTTAATTTCTAACAGGACAGTGTTCCTCATCGATGAATTAAATGTTACAGAACAAATTAGTATACAAAAACTAAAGTCATTTAAATTCTTTCATTCGATCAAAATTACTGTGAATTTTAAAGTCCTGATGTGAATTCATGCATTGTTTGCCTGTTCAATTGCTTATTCGTCTGTTTTACTACATTACTGTAAATTTTATTCATTGATTAAAACAAAAATAAACAATTGTGTATATCATTTTTTTGTTTTTGCTATAGAATAAGTAATATGGAATAGGCCTATTATATTAATTAAGTTGTCAACAACCGTGAAGCAGATAATAGCAAGGGCTTATCAGAGCAATGATGGTCGCAGGTTGGCGTGACGTACAGGATGCTAAACAAAACACTTATATTACAATTACCAACAACAATTATTGGTTTACAATGTAAAGTAATGTAAAGCTAAATCCTAAAAACCTATTACCTGTAGACGTAAATATTTTGAATATATGTAGATTTTAAAACTTAATAATGTTAATAGAAGTAATGATAAACTTGGTGTTAAATTGATGAAGGATGGCACAATTATATATTTTAAAAACTAATTATCTTTGTGATGTTACGACTATATATTGTTAAAAACTTGTAATTGTATCATATGTTGTCATCACTTGTGCACCAGATGTTCACTGTTACACACGTTCCTTACTACTGCTCCCAGCACCTTGTAATTATTGGTTTACAGTTATGAACTAAAGTTGTACAGACAGACTATGTACAGTACATATTCTGTCTATATAACTTTAGTACATAACTGTAAACCAATAATTTGCAAACCTATAAGTGTTTTGTTCAGCATCCTATACGCCATGCTATCCTGCATAGTTATGAAGATTTATTACACCTGTCTACACTTATAATGCTTACTGTTCATATAGTTATAACAGCATTGTCATCTTTATATTGTATAGTTTTAGGCATAGTTTTAAGTTTACCTTGTATAATTTTGTAATAATTTCGTAATATGAAATATATTTTCTAAAGTTTCATATTTTCGTCATGTTTTAGAAAACTTTACATAATATATGTTCTCATGCATGTAATTGTTTTTTTTCATTACAGAATCTCTTCACTGTGTTATATTTATTTACAAATCCATTTTTAATTATCATTACCACAATCGTTTTGTGGACGTATTACGGATGGGCCATTATAGTTGGAATATCGATTATACTTATTTTTATTCCAATGAAAATATTGCTTGGAAAATTATATTCAAAACTGAGGTAATTAATATTTAATTTAGATAATTATAAGTAATTTACTTACTGTGTTTATAAGTAAATAAATTGTATAAATGCTTTAGTCATCAAATGGATAAGATTTAAAAGGCTCTCTTAGTATCCTTAGGTAGAAAAAAGTGGAAAAAAATCCAGTCATTATGAGATTCAGATCTAAACAATTTAACTGTTTTCATTTATACATTTTTACAATACTTCACAGATTACAAGCAGCCATATTGGGAGACGAAAGGTTAAATCTGTTGAATGAAATGCTTGCTGGTATGAGATTAGTTAAAATGTACACTTGGGAATTGCCGTTTGCTGCATTAATAGAAAAAATAAGAGCGTAAGTATAATCATGTTTTAATTACACTGAAATTTACTTATCAACTATTTGTCTGCAACTGAAATTTCTAATAAATATTTATTTATGTTTTCAGGAAGGAAATAAAAACGATTCGGAAATTCCTATATGCTCGCGGAATATTGTTAACATTAGGATTTCCTTTATCAAGATTATATTCATGCCTTATTTTCCTTGTGTTTTTTCTATTCGGTGGCCAACTGAATGCTCAAATTGTTTTCGTCACTACGACATTTTCTATAATCATTTACTTCAGCGTCATTTCACTATTTTCCTTCGCTGTTAATCTTGCGGCAGAAATTTTTATATCTTTGAAAAGGCTTCAGGTAATTATCAATTTAATATATTTTATATAATTTAAATTGATAAAATGATTTCAAAATACAGTACACACAATCTTTTTACGAACAAATTTTCATTATAAAATTGTATTAAAATTTTATTTAGCATTTTCTCCTGCTTCAAGAAAAAGACAACAGTTCAGTTAATGTAATAAAAGAAAGGTTAATGCTAACAAAATGTGGAATATGGATGGAAAACGTCAAAGCTGCGTGGAATAAAGTAAATATTTATCTAGTTAATTAATATTATCTTTGAAGAAGTATTAAAATCTGTAAGTACAGTAGAGCGTCGACTATTCGAATCAATTGGGACTGGGACTGTTTGGAAGATCGATGTTTCGGATAACCGACTGTGTACGAAAAATATGTTAATTTATTCCATCTTGAAATTTTTCTCCGTTGCGTGTCGCTTCGCGTTGAATTTTCGTCGATGTTAAGCCTAACGAAGACTATTCTATCGTTAAAAATTATTTTTTTATTTTGTACGAACAAAATAAATATATTGAAAAATATAAAAACAATAAAAAAATTATACTTCAGAAGTTAATTTAGTATCAAAAACGTATAATATTTGAGTAGCCCAAGACATAGCCAAAGATCGCAGCGCCACAGCACTGGCGTAAATTTAAATTTGCCGACTGGAATTTTTTCGGATGATTGACTTTCGGATAATCGACGCTCTACTGTAATTCTATTATTTCATATTGCTTACACGACATGTGTTAAAAAGCATTGTATGGAAACATGAACTCCTGTGATTTTAAATCGTAATTAAACTTGTTTTGATTAATCTAATTTTATCAAAATTACATTGAAGTCAATAGTTATTACAATTTTAATAAAAATAAACTGGTTTCTCATGAAGTTTTATCACCTCTTACTTGCATACAGGCAAGTTTAATGTTACGTACTGTACACCATGGTCCAGCGTTAAATATTTCGTATATATAATCCAAGACAGTGGTGTAATAAACTTACACGTACATATTTAATACATATATGTATATGATTATATATGTAGCTGAATATTTAATTGAATTAAAATCACTACAATGTGTATTAATTAATACTATATACATACTGAATTATGTCACCGATAATTCATCATGTATTGTCTTTTATTCCTGTTTTATTTTTACAATTTGAGACACTGCTTTATATCTTGATTTTTTCTATCAAAAGAAGTGTCTGGAATAGGGATTATATTAATGATTCTTTATACTGTGTGTTATTTATGATACAGTTTATATGTATATTATTTTAATAACTTTGTACTTTTTTAAGGATATTGAACCAACATTGGATGATATATCATTAAGTATAAAACCTGGAGAATTGTTAACTATTATAGGTTCTGTTGGATCAGGAAAGGTGAATATCTCGATATTTAATTTAAAATTTAATATTAATAATCTATATATAATTGTTCAGATTAAGTAAGAACATTTAAATTAAGAAGTTAGATCAACTTACATACTTCTTGTATTCTATATAAGTTTCTATATACATTACTACTCTGCTAACGTAAAAAATTTTTTCCTAACTACTAATAATTTTATACCTTTTTTGAACCAGACTTCTTTACTAATGTCAATATTGAGAGAAATTCCGATTATTTCTGGAAGAGTATCAGTGAAAGGAAAAGTTTCTTATGCTTCACAAGAAGCCTGGATATTTAACGGAACTATAAGAGAAAATATCTTATTTGGAGAAGAATATCAAAAAAAGAAATATAGTGACATTTTAAAAATAACAGCCCTTGAGAAGGTAATGAAATATTTTATGTTCTTGCTTGTAAAGTCGATGAAAAGAATATTTTATTTTCTATTGCAATTCCACAAATTTGGGATTAAATTTAACGTGACATAATTTAAGTGAGAAAAAATTATCTTTATGGATCTAACCAAACATAAAATTATGATGGTAAAATAATATGATTTGTTTGGTTGTCTTTATTGTTAATATATTCGAGAAAAATAATGTTGCATAAGATTAAAAATAGGTTCTGTGACCCATGGATTCTTTCACCACAAGGAGGAACGATAAATCACGAAAAAAATAACAATAGAAACTGTTTGGTAATAAAGTACAAATGATAAATTTATTTTATAGCTTCAGTTTGACAATTACATGCTTTCATATAAAATTATTAATTGCATTGTATTAATGGAAATAAGGAAACGTAGCATATGTGTGATCTCCTTAAGATGGATACGTGTTACGAGATCAGGTTACTCTATAATCATATATTTAAATATTATATAATATTTATACTTGTGTACGTTCTGTATATCAAGTTTTATATCTATATATATATTATGAGAAATACTAATATAGGTTTTACTTATTTTAGGATATAAGTTTATTTCCAGAAGAAGATTTGACAGTTGTAGGTGAAAGAGGAGTGATGATGAGCGGTGGTCAGAAAGCAAGAATTAATCTTGCAAGGTCAGAAACTTCTTATTTTAAGAAAAATAAGATCAACACAATCGTAGATATTGCTTCTCGGTGTAATACTTACCCATTGATTATGTTGTAAATATATTTAAATATATATTTTCAGAGCATTATACGTAGATGCAGATATATTCCTCCTTGATGATCCGTTAAGTGCTGTTGATGCTCCAGTAGCGAAACACTTATTCGTAAAGTAAATAGTGGATTTAAACGTTAGTCAATACGTATATTTTAATGTATTTAAAAATTTATTATTTTTCAGATGTATAAAAGAATATTTAAAAGAAAAAGTTTGCATTCTCGTTACACATCAAATACAATTTCTAAATTCTACAACTAAAATTTTAGTGTTAAATAAGGTGAGAAAATTAATATATCATATACAACTTTGCTTGATAATCTTCTATGTTAGTCATAATATTCAATAATACAGTCGAACCTGAGAACAGATCGCTATTTTTGATTTGTAAATTAGTGCACGAAACCTGTCACCATTTTCATTAATTATTTGCAGGTTATTTTCTATGATCGTTAGTTCATAAAGAACAAAATTTCATAAAAAAAAACAATCGTTATATAGAACGATTATTTCCATGCTTTTTGTCAATGGCCGTTATTTTATGGATTTCGACTTTATTTCAATTAGCAAATTCTTATTAAATTCTACTTCTATTCATTCTATAGAAAAATATTTCACGAAATGTAAGCCACTATAATTGTATTACAAATATGTACTGTATAAAGATAACGAAAAATATTTCTCTTGTGTAACATGTATTAATTTATCGTTTAAATAAATATATTAATTCAAATATTGTTAATACAAATTTCTGTTGTTTTATTTTAGGGAAAATGTGAATTCTTTGGCAATCGTAATGAAATGAAATGTTGTGAATGCTATGCAGAAGATTCACGAGAAAATGAAATTGTTAAAAGTAGCATGGAATTGTCGACCGTATGTTTCAACGACAAAAAAATACCTAACATTAAACAAGTTGACGTGCTTCAAGATGTCGAAATTAATAATAATGTAGTAAGAGTTGACTTTGATTGTTAACAAAATTTTTTAATTAATTAAAATTTTATCGCGATTTTAATTTACCTTTAATGACGCACGCTTCACGCTTAATTGCTTTTTAATAGTTTTTTAATGGGAGTTTGATATCAAATTTCATTCATCGTTCTAAAGTTGTGGTGCACTGATTTTCCTTCGGTAAAGTTATTTAAAGCTAGTTTCTGATGTCAAAAACGATCTCCGATAGTTTTTTAATTTTTTTAATTAATAGATTTTATTATATATAAGTTTAATTAAGTCGGGGGGTCGGAAATCGCAATAAAAATTTTAATTTTTTAAAAATGTTTAAAAATATAAGTCTAGTTAGTATTCACCCTACTTTAAACCCTTCTCCTCCCGAGACATTTTTGAGAATGTCCCGGGATATACGACAAGGTCATCCAGCTGTGTAAACAATGACTTGTCAGTGTCAAATTTCACAGAAAGCGGAGACAAAGGAAAATAAAATTTGAAGCTTTTTCTTCAAAATTAACGCATTTCTTTCGTTTTTTTTTTCAGTTTTAAGTATTTTTTATGTTTAATTACATTAATATCAAAAATTACTCGACGCTTAAGGAGTTAAATACTGGTACTTATTATATCATTGTAACTACAATTATAATGTATTTACATTTTTTTTCAAAACTTTTTATATTATAACTTTTTAATCTTCGATGGGGTGTATCAAGTAATTATACAGTAAATCAGAACAATAAGCGTATTTCACTTTATACGATTTCACTTTACAAAAATTTTATTTTTAGTTGTTTCGTTATTGAGGAATTATGCCTAATCTGTGAATATATGGACTAACTATTTGTATCATAGAAATACAATTTTCAATGGCACCGCAAAACAAACACAAGATGACAAATTTACATTGAATAATATTAATAATTCAAATCTAAATTTGAAGATAATATCCCAAGTTTTCCACGAAAATATAATCAGGTTGTATAGTGAGCAAAGCCAAATAAAATAATTTTTCTATAAGGAAATCAATACTTCAAAACATTACATCTTTTGATGTATATTTCTTAATTAACAGTAATTTACTTTTAGTGTTAATTAGTTTAATTTGATACAAGAACAATTAGAATTCACACACAACAATGTAAAACATTAACACTCTTTTTAAAGGCAATTACAAATAGGAAATTTACGTTTTTCAGCATGAAATGCTTACTTTTCAAGAATATAGTGTAATGTTTCAATTAAAGTATAAATGTTTTAACTATTATTTTTTCTAGAATACCAATCACAAGCAATTACAAGAAGATAAAAGACATGGAGTTGTAGGATTATCTGTTTATAAAGCATATGTTAATGCTGGAGCTGGTTTATTCTTCAAGTTTCTTATAATCTTAATGCTTTTCTCAACTCAGGCCGTTTACAGTTTCGGCGATTATTGGATGATTAAATGGTATGAATTTGAACTTTATTAGTTTTAATTCGTAATTTCGTAACTAGAAATGTAATGAATATCCTCCAATTAACTCTTCATATTACAAAGTTTCACGTATTACTTTGAACTTCTTAATATTTGCATAGTGCCATCTACGACTTTCAATATTCCTTTAACTTAGATACTACTTTGTATTGTTTCTTTATTTATGTATTGATGTCAGCGTGAAATTTCTGAAAAAAATCTTATAAAACCTCACATTCAAAGCGCTTCACTGAAAATGTTCTGTTATATCGAGAAAATTTTTTATTTGTAATTACAGTAGACCGTCGTTTATTTGAATCAATTGGAACTGGAACTGTTCGAATAACTTGTTTTTCGGATAACCGATTATGTACGAAAAAATATATTAACCTATCCCGTGTTGAAATTTTTCTCCGTTGGGTGTCGCTTTGCGTTGAATTTTCGTCGATGTTAAGCTTAACATAAACTTTCTAAAATAATAATCGTGGCTATTGTATCGTTAAAAATTATTTCTTTATTTTGTACAAACAAAATAAATATATTTAATATAAAAACTAAAAAAATTATACTTCAGAAGTTAATTTAGTATCAAAAAACGTAAAATATTTGAGTAGCCCAAGACATAGCCAAAGATGGCAGCGCCACAGCACTAGCGAAAATTTAAATTTGCCAACTGGAATTCTTTCGGATAACCGACGTTTCGGATAACAGACTTTCGGCTAAACGACGCTCTACTGTATTAGATTTATTGATATAGATTTATATTAAATAATGCACTTGTAGTTTATTCTGAGTGATAAGTGATTATACATATATTAAAATAATAAATCCATTTTTATGTTTAATTTTCAGGTTAAACGATGAAAAAATTTACAATCAAAACAGAGAAAAGTTTGAAAATTTTTCATACGAGACAAGTAACACGAACTTTACAAAAACTATAAATTTTCAAACTCTTGAATTCAACATGTACATTTTTTTTGGATTAGTTTGTGCAACATTTGTTATGACATTAGTTTCTGCATCATTGTTTTACGAAATGTTCATGGCAGCATCTATAAAGCTTCACAATAATATGTTTCGTTGTATTATTCGTACTCCAATATCGTTCCTGGATAGCAATCCTGTTGGTATGTAAATAATAGACTGTATTCATTTATTTTATTAATAATTGTATAACGTAAATGATTTTAATACATTTTTTATAATGTATTAAAATGTATTAAGTGCAGTCTGGATTATCAGTTTAGTTTTTCTATTTAGAAACTTAAAATGAATATAATTTCTAGTATTAACCAAAAAAGTTTAAAAACAATTTGTCAAAATAAATGATTATCGTTTCCGTTGAAGAATTCAACAATTCAGGAATTAATTTTCTATAAGCAATTATGCATTTTATATGTAAAATANGTTTTTCTATTTAGAAACTTAAAATGAATATAATTTCTAGTATTAACCAAAAAAGTTTAAAAAGAATTTGTCAAAATAAATGATTATCGTTTCCGTTGAAGAATTCAACAATTCAGGAATTAATTTTCTATAAGCAATTATGCATTTTATATGTAAAATATTATTTATTACTAAAGCTATAAAAAATAAAAAAATGCTCATAATACACGAATTTATAAAATTTAAATAAATATATTTTAAAATATAAAATATTTCTTAATTTGTCTTTTAATTTTTACTAATTTCCAGGGAAAATTCTAGATCGATTTTCAACAGACATTAACAGCATTGATGATTCATTAACTAGTATAGTTTATGAAGTCATAAGAGTAAGTTTTAATTAGTTTTCAGTAATAATAGTAAAATATATAGCTTCATTACAATAATATATATATAGTTTATTCATAGTTTTATATGTATTGTACATTACATTGGGATAATCTCTCTTATAGTTAGTAATACCAAAAGTTTAATGTACATAGGGACACCTCAATTGGTCTATCATTTAAAAAGTAATATTTTCAAAATTGCGATGAAATTTAGATTGTTACCAGAGTTACAAATATTAAAAGTATAAGCATTTAAAATTTACAACTGGAAATTTCAATGTTACATTTCCAGAAGACAAAATTGTCGATCTGCTACTGTACTGTCATAGAGTTTCTATTTGCAGTGAGTCTTCTTCTTAGCATTGTAGTATATTGTGACTTTTCAGACATTTATATAAGTATATGGTACGTTGAAACAAACATTAAAACTTTATATGTGTAAAAATTAGTGACAAAATATGATAGCAGAAAAATAGGGTGTGAGAAAAATTATAAAATTAGTAACATCATTTTTGAATTACCGTGAAATTCGATAATAAATGAATTTTTAAAAATTCATTAAAACTTATTTGAGAAAAACATTTTTTTTTTCAAGAATATTGCTCATTAGAATTAAATCAGATAAGTAGACTTGATTTCATGGATACTTGGAACTGCGACATAATACAATAACAATATATAAGAAAACCAATTTTACCACAGTATAAATAATCTAAATATATAAAATTGCTTGTCCTGACTGACTCACTCATTCATTCACTGATTCATCATCGCCCAGAGCAAACCGCTTAACCTAAAGAGGTGAAATTTGGTACACAGTTAGGGTACGTCATGGAAACGCACACTAAGAAAGGATTTTTCGAAATTCCAACGCGGGGGGGNTGTAAGCATAATCAATGACTATTCGTTTCTACATTTATCAGTTAGAAACATGTTTCAGGACCTCTATGAACAATTGGGCTACTGGACAGTTCAATTTCTTTTCGTGAAACTGCACACGGCTCTGTTTAGTTTCTTTTACTGACACATTGTGATTTTCAATAATTTGACTTTAGTGTGAGTTATCAATGTTAAACAAACGTGTAAAAATAACTCAAATTATAAATAATTTGTCTTATTTTAAATCTAAAATCATAGCAGCAAAATTCCAATTTCTAATTAACAAAATAAATGGTTTAATTAATTAAACATTCGGGTAATCTATTATTGAAAACATTTGTATATTTTAAAATTTTTCATAATTTGCAATTTAATAGTTTATTATTGAAACACTAGCTTATCTAGGGTCGTATAGTGAACCCGCTGTAACCAGAGGATGAAGTTTATTCAATATAATATATCAGTTAATGTTTTCCTTGTTGATAGGATTGTCTTTTATAATATTCTATATTTGTATTTTCTATTAGTAAACATGCATTATTTTTACGATTTTACTTTATTGTAAAAAACATCCAGAATAAAATAGCATTAACGAAACTATATTCTTTACATCAGGTATTGGCAACCTACGGCACGAGTGCCAAACGTGGCATTCAGAACGATTTTCAGTATCACTCGGATTGAATAGAAATGCAGTAAAAATTATATTTTAATTATTAATTACACGTTTCTTTCATGTACTGTACCACGGCTTTCTCTGAGCTATGAAGTCCATTTAGGACTTCATAGCTCAGCGAAAGCCGTGGTACAGTACATGAAAGACACGTAGACGCTCCGTGTCGCATCTACGTGTTATGCAAGCGCTTTACATGCAAGAACATAATTCAGTTAACAAATTAATTTCAAAATTATACATTTTTCAAGTCCGTTATAACAGAATTAATTTTGATGACATATATAATAATCTTAGTAGAATCATAACACGAAATAACACTATAACTTATTTTCGGACACACACCGCTGAAAGGTTTCTGACCCCTACTTTACATTATTGTAAACAATGTATATACAACTTGACAAAATTCGTAACAAAAGATTGTATATTAACTGATAATGAAAAATATCATACAATTATCTTGGCATTTAAACACAATTGAAAAAGAAAAAAATTATCACATTAATAGAGAGATAAAATGTAAAAGAAGTAGATTAGAATATATAATTTCAGATTATGATAAGGGTAATATTTTATACATTATCTACAGACTGTTTATAAGAACTGATTCATATAAACACGCAATGTTTACATATTTGTGAATTATATCTTTCATGTCTGCTTTTTAATTTATAAATATGGCTCTTCGGTTTATTGACCCAGATCATCGCCTCAATAGGTCATTCTCTTCATACTGTTTTCGTTACACTTTGTATTCACAAATTTGAATTATATCTATTTTTGCAAAACTATCTCTTCAACTCTTCATCCCACCAGTGGCCGAGTTAATAAAACAACTCAAATTTGAGAATTTTTTATTACTTATTTTGTGTTGTGTACAATTTCTATTAAGCAGGTGGTGAGTTTGTTCAGAACAACGATGGGGTGACCAGACAGAAAAGATACAGACTAAATATTGTGTAGGAAAAACTGCATATGGAAAATTTCGGGCATTTTGAAGCACACATATTCGAACCCGAATCTTCCAGAGTGATCGGTTCACACATTTACTAAGACATTCATAAGACAATTAATTTAATAAACCTTCAGAAATTTTATAGGCAATCTGTATCCCCAGTCAAAATCATCTTCTCTCTGTAAAAAACGAAATTGGGATAGAAAGAAAACTGTGTTACTTCGAGCAAGGATAAAAGACCAAAAAAACAAGAGAGATTGTATCATTCAATGAATGAAAGATAAACATTTGGGTCAATATCAGGAAGGTTAAGATAGAAAAAAATGTACTATATCAGCGATATTATCAAAAATTATATTAGTAGATATAAACAAATTCGTGTTTATCTATTTTTTTCCTCACTATTTTTTCCTTGCTTTATTATGTATAATTAAGAATGCAGTACACAATTATATATATACTAGCAAGTGGGCCCGGCATTGCTCGGCAAAAGTAACGATAACTAAGATAAAGATTATTACGTTAGAGTAAACCTTACCCGTTTTCACAGAATGCAAGAATTGGGTTCCCTTGTTTCCAGACTTATTAGAGAATTTTTAGATGGGTCTAAAAATATGTTCGATTTCCCGCAAAAACGAAAAAAACTGCATCTGCGTATTGCACGTCGCCTTCTCTTAACAATTCCATTGTTACGTAGCATTTCCATTGTTGATACTTCCATTGTTACTTAACACTTCCATTGTTGATACTTCCATTGTTACTTAACACTTCCATTGTTGATACTTCCATTGTTACTTAACACTTCCATTGTTACTTAGCACTTCCATTGTTACTTAAGATTTCCATTGTTGATGGAAGTGTTAAGCCTTAATCTTGTCCCTCTCCCCCGTGGGGAAAAATTTCGAAAAATCCCTTCTTATTGTGCGTTCTCCTAATGTACCCTAACTGTGTAAAAAATTCCAACTTTTAACTCCTAACCGTTTGGGCTCGTATCCATAATGTATATAGAAGTTTTAATCCTGTCTCTCTCCCCCCGGGGGGAATTTCGAAAAATCCCTTCTTAGTGTACGTTTTCATGACGTACCCTATCTGTGTACCAAATTTCAACTTTCAACTCCTAACCGTTTGGGCTCTGCGCTTATTATTATTATTATTATTATCAACCCGTCTCGATTATATATTAGAT